GGTTAATTTAAACATTTATATTATTATTCATATCATCGGTATCTGATATCACGATTGGTAAGACCGAGCCCTCGTGGAGGTCATACACAGTTTCAATTTAGTTGTTGACTTTGCACACCTTTTCTGGTTGCTATATTGCCATACTTATTTTGGCACGCCTTTCAAAAACAATTTTGACTAAAATAAGCTTTCATTTTTAAAGTCGAAGTACAGCACATAGTTATACGGAAGATACAGCACTTTCTAGAGAAACCCCGCAAGAGCGATGACCCCGCATGGATGCACTAGAATGTACATACACGTGTTTGAAAGTACTAAAAATGTCTGTACTCTGTATCATCCGTTCAATAGGTGTTTGTGGGGACCACTGCAGACAAAACAGTAAAAGCTAAGAAACCCTGCGCCGAGGCCACTTTGTATGATATAACTGCTGTCGCCGCGTATCGAACGTGTGGCACGAAACCACAACCAGATAGTGGAGCAAGCATACCAGTATCGTCTGCCGTTCCCGTTACAGCAGGGATCTGTTACGCTATGACGGCCACATGTCGAGACGTCATCGTGTCCAGAGCACGTCAAAGAAGTCGGTCTGCGTATCACTCACCCACGTCCTTGAGCTGGTACTTTCAGATGCCCGCAGGGGAGGGACTGGTGGGTGCAGGATTTCCTACTCTGTTTAGCCTTCTCTCACGCTACCACCCGGGCCACGCCGACAGCTCAGATCAGGGATAAAAAAAAACGTCGCCCTGAGCTGAAAATAAGCGCAGCGGCGACATTGAACATTGGGTCTTCGTAGAAACTAGAAAGTTACTTTATATGGACGTTGCTAATTGGAATGTGAATAAATTGTGTAAACATGTTCATTGATGGTCTTTGTACGGGAACCGGGCTCCAAATCGGGCATCCAGTTTCAAAAGCACAACTATAATGAATGTTTGCTCTCTGCTTCTGCTTGTGCCTTCGTATTTTGTCTGACCTTAGTTCTTATCGCACTCTCGGCTTCTCCTTTTATTCTCCATTTCCTCTTCACTATTTCCCTTTTCTGTCTCAGTCTCTTGATGTCTGTCTTTGTCTCTGTCTCTGTCTCTGTCTCTGTCAATATCACTGACTGTGTAATACTGTGTATCTCTGAATGTCTGCATACCTCTACTCTAGCTCTCCGTCTCTCCCTCTCTCCCTCTCTCTCTCTCTCTCTCTCTCTCTCTCTCTCTCTCTCTCTCTCTCTCTCTCTCTCTCTCTCTCTCTCTCCCACCGCTGCAGCCCTCCCAGTTATCTCCAAGTTGCAGTTGCAATGTCCGGCTGGCAGTTCCGGTACTGATTGAAACTGTGCTGGGTGGGGCAGGCTGGAGGTATGTGGGGTTTCCGTTTGAAGTACATATCATGTAACACTAATCTGTGACATAGTTGGATTTCCACTTACTCAGCTCCCTTCTGTCGCATTCGTGATTGTCATTTTTTCAAGGTGCGGTTACAAATGTTCCCTAGACATTTTTTGTTACTTTTGAAGTAGCACATTTATGCAAAGCTTGATAAATTTAATCACATTCAAACACGCTATTATCAAATGTGATATAGCATCAATAACCTTCAGATAAAAAGAAATACTTCAGCTACTGACTCTCAATATCCAATCCTGCAATAGTTTCCTGATGTTGAAACTTCACATCATTGATCACAGCGTATGAATCACCCAGCGGAAGCTGACGTTTTTATTTTAACAAATTGGCCTACATTGCCTAACATGCTCACCATCGTTCCTTTGCACTTTGCTGTAAATTCCTGCACAGAGTAGCACGTGTTGAAAAAACTTTCCGTTTCAACAAGCCCCGCTCGCACCGCGCAGCATTACGATATCTCGGCGATCGGCCCTGAACAGTAGCAAACTATTGACCACCGACAGGTGTGACGTCATCCCCCACCCTCTCCTCTCCCCTCCCCGCTCCGCCTGTCCTGCTGAGTGTGCAGTTTGCAGCTGTTCCTACCCCTCCCCCCCCCTCATAGGCGCCGGCGCCACGGCCGAGCGCGCACGGTATACCGTCAAGGTCACCTCGGGGTCACGTGAGGGTCACGGTGTCACGCAACGCCCGCCTGCGGGGATAACGGATCGGTCGCCCCTGGGGGGGGGGGGGGGGGGAGTAGAGCTGGGGGCGGGCTGTTGATCTGTTGGAACAAAAGGTGTTTACAAATGAAACGCGTGATGCGCTGAACGATTAAAGAAACAAACGAGGAGTTGCCATTGTTGCATCGATTATGCTTGCATTAAATGACCTCATTTGTTTTAGGGCACACCAAACGAGAAGTTGGTACAGTATCCTTTTAAGGTTTTTTTCCCTGGTGCACTGTTAGATTCACATCCAGTATCTGCCGATTTTTATTTGAGCCGCATTCGTATGCCTCAGGTATTCCACTAGCAACACACAAGCCATTTTCATGACGGGCTATCCGGCGAATGCACCTGATTTGACCAAATCTGCACCTTATCTCTTTTACAGCAAATATCTTTATTTTATGAATTTATTTCAGTGTTTTAGTCGATGATACTCTCTGATAATATGACAAAGCAGGCATATAAGCAAATAGTGCAACCCTAGCTGATAGCTACTAAGAGACACACTGAACCTGATTTGACCAAATCTGCACCTGATCTGCGCCAGATGCGCACCAAGTGTGTACCAGATGGCCGTCGTGAAAACGGCTACTGTCTACTAAAAATGTTTGCATTCAAATTTCTATTTAAAGTAGAATCCAATGGTGATATTCAGGCCATGCTTATTAGGAAAAATAGGTTTGAGAGATTCCTGGAATGCCCAATCTGTAAAAGTCGCTATATTGTGAATCTTGGAAACAGTAAAAACCATTCGATATATTCTAGGGTTGTATTGCTGCACCATATGACAGGCAATCCATATGACAGGCGATTACCTAACTGCTCGCAAGGTAGGATTATAAACGTTTTCCCACCAATATCTGACATCTTTTTAACCGCGCCCTGCTGGGGGGGGGGGGGGGGGGTGTTTGAACACCCCCTTGTGGTTTTTCGCGAATATCTCAAAAACGGCGGCGCGTTTTTGGTACACCTTATCATACATCAATTCTACACGTATCGTGAAAATTTCAGACCAAGGTCATTCAAGGTCAGGTCACCAGGTCACTTGAAGTGACCTCACCTCATAAAAAGTTTCAATGTCTGTCATAGCTACACCGAGTGACCGATTGCTTTGAAGCTTTCAGCGATTGATAAGGGTAACAGTATTTATAAAATGTATATCTCGGAATTTTGATATCGGTGACCTAAGGTCAGGTCAATTTTGCGACCTCCCCATTATAAGTCAATGGGAGAAAATTGAAATGCGCCTCTTTTGGACGAAAGACATTATAAACACTCCCAAACACTGAATTACAAGTGATTTAGACACACTGAACATGAAAATGGTGTCCGTGACCCTTGTTTATGCCCTGAGGTCATCTTAGGTCACGAATGGTATCTAACAGTTTTTCGCAAATAACTTTTGATAGAGGCATGCTAGAGCGATGAAAACGCCTTAGATGTGTTTAGATGTGTTCAGCTCGACGATACGGATCGACTGATATGCAACATGACCATTTCCGGTCAGGTCATGACCTTGACCTGAGGTCAAATTTTCAAGTTGACCTTTCAAGGTCAAGTTATAGTTCATTCGATGCGTCTTTGCAAGAGGAACACGATGCCGGTAAAAGTAAGCTCGTACAAGGCTTGGGTCAAAAGTTATTGCCGAAAAACTGTTTCCGAAAAAATCGGCTATTTTTGCAGTTTTTGCCCCCTGCAGGCAAAACCGTTGACGTTAGGTCAAATCTGAGAGTATTACTCAGAAAGGGCGTTAATAGGGCTATCGAATGCGCTTTTCCGCGGCGCTGTAGCTCTATTGGTTCCCGAGTTATGCGTTGGCTTCCTGGAAATTTTCGATATTCGACCTGGAAATCGGCGAAATTTTGCCTTCAATGACCTCTGGTGACCTGACCTTTGACCTGACCAAAAAATTGACCGAAGTGATTTCCTCATTATTTTTGACGCTCTTTCGAACGACGCGTTCCGCGTATCGCTACGTGGCCCAGGAGCCGAGTTAGAAGGGGGGTGTTCAAACACCCCCCAGCAGGGCGTGGAAATCCAGGACCCCCAGCCGGGCGCGGGTTAATCCAAATGACTGTTGATAATCCCCTCTTCGACTTTCCTCCCCTCTCTCTCTCTCTCTCTCTCTCTCTCTCTCTCTCTCTTTCTCTCTCTCTCTCGCTCTCTCTCTCTCCTCTCTCTCTTTCTCTCTCTCTCTCGCTCTCGCTCTCTCTCTCTCTCTCTTTCTCTCTCTCTCTCTCTCTCTCTCTCTCTCTCTCTCTCTCTCTCTCTCTCTCTCTCTCTCTCTCTCTCTCTCTCTCTCTCGGATTTTGTGTCAGCTGATCCTGCTGTAATCGTTTATTCCCTTTTCTCAGCGGTTGATGCAAGCACTTATTCCTTTTGTATACGACCCTGCGTTTCTCTGTGTCGTTTTCGTTCGTGAGACTATGCTTGTAAGTGAGCCAGCTGACAGTTGTCCGTTTTTGCACCTTTAAGCAAATGGTGTATCTTGCTCCCTATAGCTTGTTCGCCGCTCAGAGCTCTGATCAATGCGTTGTGGTGGTGTTACACGCAATCACACTTAAACCTCTGCGATTTGTCCGCCGTGTTTCTTTGGGAGTAATATAATGTTTGCAGTTTAGTAAAATCGCACTTAAGCTGTAAATCCCTAATTCAGGGCTGTCAGACGTCCGTGATTACGATTAGGTCTGAATGCCTTAATACGATAATGAACTTTAATGAACTAATGCCAACAGCACAACCGAAGTTATCCGCCATCAACATTTCATGGATTCAACAGTAGGTAAAGAGGCTGCTGCTGCAGGAAAATGCTTTTGGTGTCAAGGACAATTCCGACGAGGATTTTAAGGCCACGCAGCATTCCAGGCGGCTGTGAGAAAAAAAGATTAGGTAAGTTGAACGTCCATTTACTTTCAGACCAGGACAAGTAAGGAGTATTTGGAGGACCAGCATTTTCTCATGAGGATTGATATGTTTCTGTGTCTTTCAAATGACAGGGTCATCAGTAAAGAAGAAGCAGACCTTTCGCGACAACAAACATGTATTTCCACTGAAAATAGATGCTATTGACACTCAATTTTTCAATGAGAGCACTGATTTGTCGGTTATTTAGTGATAACCATATCCGCGGCCATATCCGGATCCGTGTCCGTATCCGGCGTATTCAGCCCCGTGACCGTATCCACCGTATCCAGCCTGGTGTCCGTATCCAGCTCCGTGTCCGACCTTGGCGCTGTGTCCGTAGGCGTACTCGCCACCGTATCCACCGTGTCCGTATCCACCGGATCCGCGCGCCTCCGAGTAGGTCTGCGCGTATCCACCGACGAATCCGCCGTGTCCGTATCCGTCGCCGTATCCACTGGAAACATGACGTCATCGCTGTTAGGTTCAAACGCATGACGGAGCAGCAAGCTTGCTTCTGGCGGTTGAAGTTTGCATTAGCTACCCAAGTTAGCTGCGGAGTGATTTGTGAATCTCCTTGGGTATATACTTTAACGGTCTAAGCTGACAGACTTCAATGCTCAGTAAGTAGGTATGCACTATTGCATACATTTGGTATGCCCTAGGTAATAGGCATGCAACAACACTGTAAAATTTCAACACGTGCGAATCAAGCCGCCCAGGACACATAATGATGCGTTAAAATCGTGAATGTTTACTTTATTGAGGCTGAGCTATTGTTTACTGGACTAGCACAAATAAGCCTTTTGGGAAGAAACTTAGCAATATTCAAGCTTTTTCACTACATTCGCTCGAATATATCGGGGCTCACCTGTATGTATATAGGTCGAGTGGAAGATGTATATATTTAAATTGTCAGCGAGGCTCACCTGTAGGTCGGGTGGACGATGTGTGATCCGTACTTTGCGCTGCCCCAGGGGTTGTAGCTGAAATGGAAATAGCGGGTCACTTACACCTAACCATTTCGATGAAATATGTGATATTATTGAATATCATATCTGGCCCGACGGATTATGGGACAAACAACTAGCGAAGCTCCTTCATTTAACAATGACCCTTACTCATAAGAACTTTCATATGTTAACTCATTTTTATACAACTCTTAACACTGGTACTCGAGCATGCACGATATTCGCAGACAATGCCTGTTCAAAAGTGACGAGAGGATAATGCTGCCGAGGTTTATTTTGCTCACGTTTGTACGTTGGTGTGACTCTCGGCGTTTCCGTAACCGCCGGCGGCAGCCGCAGCGGCCGCACACAGCCAGAGAACAGCCAGCTGGAAATATAAATATTGAATAACCATAACATGATATCATCGGCGGCACACAGCGAGAGAACAGCGAGCTGGAAATATAAAAACCAATAACATGCTACCATCGGCCGCACAGCGAGAGAACAGCGAGCTGGAAATATAAATAACCATAACATGATATCATCGGCCGCACAGCGAGAGAACAGCGAGCTGGAAATATAAATATTGAATAGGTAACCATAACATGATACCATCGGCCGCACAGCGAGAGAACAGCGAGCTGGAAATATAGATAACCATAACATGTTACCAGCGGGGGCAAGCAGTGAAAGAACAGCGAACTGGAAATTTAGAGGGAATCAGTTTTACTTGCGGCGGCACGCAGCGAAATAACAGCGAGGAAGAAATTGAGAGGGTTTTCAGTTTGTTTTAGGGGCCAGGCATAGGCAAAAAACGCACGCATCGTCGATCGTTAAGATTACAAAAAAAGATGCTGCAACGCGTGGCGAAAAGTCCTTTGACGTAGGTACTGTTCTTCTGTGGTGCCCAAGTAAGCTAAGAGTTGCCCGAGCTCTTCCACCCACGGTACTCACTTTGAACATTTTCAGGCGTCTGTTTAGCTGTCCGACTGGCTAGCTGGACGAGTGTGCGTTGTCTGTGCCCCGCTCCCTATCATCTGACTATATATACCGACTGTATTCGCCCCAGGGCTCGGTCCCGTCGTGACGGCGCCGACGGGGGTGCACGTCGCCGGTGACCTGACCCCGCCCCGGCTGACCCTTGACGGAGCGATCGGGCGACCGGCCCGGCCCACCTTTGGACATGGGCGTGACATCGTTAAATGACATGATATTTAATGTAGCTACACGGTGGCGGTGGAGAAATTCAATCGCGCTTTGGTAATGCTGGGCCTAGTACGCCTATATCGTGTATGATTTGAAACATCATGCTCATTGCAGGTAGGCTGTGCTGCACCTCTTGCTGTAAACGTATAGCTGTATACGTATGTAGAAATTCGAAAGTATACATATCAGCTATGGATTTCATATATATTCCTAAGATATTATGATACTAGTTATTATATAGGCGTCTTCACGACGGGTTATCTGACGAATGCACCGAACTTGACTAAATATGCACCAAATCTCTTTTTCAACAAAGTTCTGCATATCATGATTTTATTTCAGTGTTTAAGAAGAAAATAATGTCTAGTAATTTGAAAAATCAGGTGTATGAGCGGCTGTGCAACCCAAACTCATAACTTCTAACAAGCACAACGAACCTAATTTGACCAAATCTGCACCAAATGTGAACCAAATGTGTACCAGCTGGCCATCGTGAAAACGGCTATTATGGATCCCGTCCTAATTTTGACCTGTGTATGCCTACAGACGCTGATAAAAAATTCGCGCGTTTCGTAAGCATTTGAGGTGAGGTGTGGCTCGCCCTGATGATGCGGCAACAGCATGAAACGGCACATTGTACCCAATAGGATCCGTCGATAGCCGCGCAGTTTCCCACAGAACACGCGTGGGAGACTGCAACGCTGTATGTGTGTACAAAACACTGGTACAGCGGATGGAGTGACTGCAATGGTTACAAGAGAGTAGCACCGGGTGTAAGAAGATATGCTATAAAGACCGTCGCCTCCCTCTCTCTCTCTCTCTCTCTCTCTCTCTCTCTCTCTCTCTCTCTCTCTCTCTCTCTCTCTCTCTCTCTCTCTCTCTCTCTCTCTCTCGCTATCTCTCTTATGTATGTATGCCTTTAATTTCGCTGCCATTTTCCGTTCTCGGTTACTCGGCGTAACATGTAAATTCAGTGGGATTGGGATTGGATTGGGATTGAGCATGGGAATGCTGGTCCGATCGTGCGACGGTGTATGGCCCTCCAGCAAAAGGGTGGATACTGGATAGGTACTAAGTAGTCAATGTAGTTTGGGGATACTAACTGAATGACACAGGCACTTCAGCAAAATTGCTTGGTAGAATGAACAGGTTTCGTGCTGCCACTTAAGCAAAGTTTTTTTAATACTACAGGGTCTTTCATAATGAATGTTATTTTTAAAATAGCCATAGCTCAGGTGATAAACATCACAGAGTTATTGTCAATACCCGAATGAAATAACAAATCATGGGAAATTATGTACACAGGACTCGCATTTAGGTACCCTTTATGGATTTTGAACTGTGTCGCCTCGCTTTCGGACACATATTTCGGCCCGCTGACGCAAATGGCGCACCACGCGCTTCACATTCTCAGCGCTTCCTCCTTGCATCAAACCTCTCCACTGTGACCTGTAGCTCTATGAGGGTCAGTTCAGTTCAGTTCATTGTATTTTTTTCCATATGTAAACAAGAACAACGAACAAAACAATAGAGGATTGGCGCAAAAGCAAAAAGCTTAAATCAAAGGCGCCTCTCCAATTAAGTTAAACAAAGAACACATGACCAAACCAAAGTATCAGAAAGCGTCGACCCCGCCCGAAACCCGCCGAGCCAAAAAAGCAGACAGTACCCGGCCCCAGGCGACGGACGACTCCAATCGGGCCAGCTTGCGTCATAGTGTCATGTTTTGTGTTTTGTAATGTAGTGTAGTGTTATGTAAGCAGTGTGTTGCATTAATATCAATGGTACTTAAATGCACTAACTAAACAGTTATGTTGTATTGGTAAACCGATTTGTCTCTACAATAAATGTCTGAAGGTGATGGGTGATTTGTGTGCCTTGATGCTTGTTTAAGTCTTTTGCAAAGAGAAGGGTATCAAGTTTTAATTTTGCTGAGAAATTGTCAAAATTTGGAGTGATGATTCGAACTGCATTTATAAGTTTTACTCTTTGTGTATGGTAAAGTGGGCACCAGAGTATGAAGTGAGTTGTGTTCTCATCGTGATAACCGCAAGCACATACTGGGCTGGGTGTGTTGGGGTGTTGTATATTGAACAGGTGTGCCTTGAGAGTCGTCATGCCCACTCTCAATCGTGTGTGTAGTGTGTTACGCGTTTTGTTGCCGAAAGAAAAGAAAGTGGGTGGCTCTGGTGCCCCAAATCGCTGCCAGACTTGACGAGCAAAAGCGGAGCGGGATGAGGTGTTACGCAATGTGTCTGGGAGAGTATTCCAGAGTCTTATTGTCGAAGGAAAAAAGGCTCTATAGAAAGAAGTGAGATTGGTAGGGGGGAAAGTAAGAGATTGAGCATTGCGAAGTCTAAGTCCCGTGGCGTCTTGTCTGGTTTCTGTCAATATGTCTTTAATGTATGAAGGGAGAGGAGGATGATTGAAGTAAAGTCTGTGAAAGAATAGAAGCTTATGAATTAATCGTCTTGTCTCAAGTCGTTCCCATCCTAGTTCGGTAAGTAATGCGGTAGTTGGTGTTCGATAAAGCGTCCCTGTTACAAGTCTGGCACAGCGGTTCTGAAGCGTCTGGAGTCGGATGGCGTCAGTTGATGTCAAATGTCCGTCGTAAACAATATCACAATAGTCGAAATGAGGTGTTATATAGGTAGAGTAAATGTTGTTCAAGACTGGTCTAGGAAGAAGCTTAGCCACGGGATATATCGGTCCTAGGAGAATGTTAATTGTCCGAATGACGTTATTGATGTGTGCGCGAAAGTGAAGGTCCGTCGAGAGTGTCAGTCCGAGATGTTTATGACTTGTCACGGTCGGTATGTCCTGCCCGTCAAATGTGAGTGCTGGAGGACAGCTGTCTCGTCGGTTTGTAAATGTCTGTTGTAGTGTCTTTTTAGCGTTGAAGGTGATGGCCCAGTCAGTCCCATATCGTTTAATCTCGTCCAGGTCGTTCTGCAAGGAGCGTCTATGATCCTGACTGTCGTGGGGATGGGAAGAGTAAAGTGAAGTGTCGTCAGCGTAAAAGAGAGCGTCATTTTTGGTCTTGTTTGATAGATCGTTGAGGTAAATTAAGGCCAGAAGAGGTCCAAGCACCGAGCCCTGGGGGCAACCGGATAGTATTTTTTGGGATGATGATAGTCTGTTTCCAACACGAACAACCTGTTCGCGATCTGTAAGGTAAGAGTTAAGCCAGGCTAGCAGAGAACCGGAAATATTGCACTCGATTTTGCATTTTAAAAGGAGTCCATCATGCCAAATTTTATCAAAATATTTCGAGATGTCAAGATAGATAGCTGTAAAGTTTTGACTTTTGTTTAGAGCAGAGTATAGCTGGTGAGTTAGATACAAGAGCTGAATTTGTGTGCTATGGCCCGGACGATATCCACTTTGTTTTTCTGAAAGTAAGTTGTTTCCATTCAAATGAGAATATATCTTGGAAAAAACGATTTTTTCGAGAATTTTAGAGAGATTGGGAAGAAGACTAATAGGACGATAGTTTGTTGGATCTGAGCTAGATCCCTTTTGCTTGAAGATTGGAGTGACACAGGCTTTTTTCCAAAGTGAGGGGAACCTTCCTAGTTGAAGTGATTTGTTAAAGAGTTTGGACAGAGGTTCAGCAAGTAAAAGTGCACACATTTTTAATAATTTGTTAGGAATTTTGTCCGGGCCTGTTGCCTTGTTGATGTCTAAGGAATTTAGAATTTTGAGAACTTCGGGCTCGGTGACTTGGACATCCGTTAGCGGAGGAATAGGGGGAACAGGAATAGGGATTTCAGGCATTTGCAAGTTGTGTGTGTCTAGTCGAGTCTGGGATGCAAAGTGGTCATTTAAGATTGTCGCTTTGTCAAAGTCGTCTGAGATTGGTATGCCGTCTTGATTTATAAGCGGTGGCATGCTACGATGAGTCCTTTTTCCGATAATACTGTTTAAAATTTTGTAATATGATCGTGGGTCCTTTTTATGGTCAAGAAGTTTGTCAATTTGGTTTTGTATGTGTCTATTTTAAGTCTTTGGTTTGTCTCTGTGGTCTTGTTTCGCTGTCGTCTCCATCGTTCCCAGTCATCGTCCGTGTTACGTCTTTTTGCTATGTTGAAAAGCCTATTCCGCTTGCGTATTTCTCGTTTAAGTTCAATGGTAAGCCATGGTTTGTCGTGAGATTTTATTGTAATTTTCCGACTTGGAATGGCTGCTTTGGCTGCAGTTAATAGAGCGTCAGTCAAGTTATATGCTGCGTCGTCCAAGTCACAGTCCAAAAGTCTGTCCCAGTCAGTGTCCATCAAAAGTCGTGTCAGTTTGTCTGCGTCCATATGTCTGTAGTCCCATAGTTTAATGGAATATGTTACGCTGGAGGGGCGACTTATGTTAAGACAGGCAAATATTGGTAAATGATCAATTTTTGAAAAAGGAGGAAGTGTACCACTGTCAAGGACCATTTCTGGGTTTGATACTATAAGAAGATCGCGTAAATTGGTAACACTGGTGTCTGCATAACGTGTGGGTTGATTAATGAGCTGCTTGAGGTTGAGTGAATAAAGTTCATCCTGTAGGGTAATTTCAAATGGTGTTACGGGGCTATGGTTAAATAAGTCTGAGTTGAGATATGTGTTTCCAGCATTAAAATCTCCCAAAATAACAATATTGTCTGGTGAGTGGACTTGAGCTAGGGTTATGGATTCGTTTAAGTTTTCTAAGAAATTAGTATGCTGTGGTGCGGTCATATTCGGAGGAAGGTATACTGTGCACACTATTACACTAAATTTACCTAATTTTATCAGACACCAAATCCATTCATAGTCGTGATATTCGAGATGAAAGAGTCGT